TAACAATGTTTGATGAAATAATTTTTCGTAATTACATACATATGCCGTTAATGCATATAGGTACAGATTTACCTATCTTATTTAGATCAAAGAAGTTACAATCTGTAACCCTGGACTGTGTCTGGATAAAAACAAAGATTTGATTTTGATTTTGTTTTTGATTTTAAATAGACTGGGTGTGCCAGTAACGTATACAACAATATATATTATTGGTTAGAGGATAAAAAATTTGTAAAATTTTTCTTCCCGATTAGGTACCAAAAATTCTTGAGGGAGAGGGATTTTTAAGAATGTTTACGAAATTTCTACTTGCCCTAGTTTTTAGATTAAACTTCCGTTCCGAAAAAGATGGAAGCTTCAAACAAACAGTTTCTGAATGTGACTCTGAATATAACACAAAAAATTCATATTTATATAGATTTAATCTATTTACATATATTACACATATGTACATGTGAAAAAAAATAACAAAAAAGTCATCAAATTTCTTTTAAAAAAAATCCAAAAGTTCAATAACAAATTTATTTATTTACAATTCATGTAAAATTAATTAAAACTTTCTGATTATGTCGTTTATAGGCATAATGACTATAAAAATTGCAAGACTAGTATTCCAAATTAGATTTGATATTCAATTTTTTATTTTCAATGTAAAATAACCTTCTTAACATTGAAACGCTTTTAAAAATATTTTGTGTTTTTACTATATTGCAACGCATAAATATCTACGTTACATATATGTGCATAGATTAAGATACATTACATGTATACATATTGTATATGTACATTTACATGTATAATATATTTATATTTTTTTTATTTATGTTTAAACCAATTAATAATACAAATCTACCTGCTCGTCTTTACATAATATTTCATAAAATTACATAATATATGTACAATTTTTAAATTTTATACCGCAGCTTTAAGAATAAATAAATGCATAATATAATCACTATGTATACCGTTTGCATGTTCGAAGTTCTTAAACAAATTTTTAGTAGACATCGCCAATAAATATGCAATAAATATATTTATTTTAATTAATACATACAGTATATGTAACAGGTTTTCTTGGATTATTGAAGAATTGACCAAAAAACAAATGAATAATAATAACAAATAAATGTTGCAATAATTTCTTGAATATTGAATATTTTAATTTGTTAAGGATTTAAAAAAAATTAATCTGAAATTTAATATTGTTTTCTAGACTTTTAATTGTATCCCATATATATAAAAAATATTCATAAAAAAAATCACAATTTTTTCCAGTATTAGAGTTCCTTTTCTCTTCAACTGCATATTTTACACTTCTATATAATAATTACACAGAAAATTAATTTCGTGATATCAAGAAATATCTTTAAAATATTGAGCGAAAAATGGTTATTAAGGAAGGAAACGTCTTTAACAAAATTTTTTTAAGTAATTTTTTTAAAAGAAATATTACAAAAGTGTATATAATTTTTTATATTTATAATAAAAACAAGAATATAATTAAGAAATCTTTACAAACAGAGAAAATCTCGCTCATTTAAAAATTTTATAGAAATTTCTCAATATTTTTATAAATTTCAAGATTCAATGAAAAATTCAAAAATTTTAATCAGTTCTAAATTGGTTATACGTAAATTTCGATACTAAATTAATATATACATACAGTCGGACCCTTATATAAAATAATTTGCATAAAAGCAAAACTCCTTTATGAGTAAAAAAAAATTGGTTTTATTGCGAAATTATTTAAATATCATCTATAAAACTTAATTTTGATATTACAGTCGTTCTATATTATATTCCAATACGCTTAAACAAAATTATCTACTTACTGATATCTTTCAAATTTCTGTTAAGCTACACGTAGACACATCAGTGGAAAACTTCATTATTTCGCTTTGAAGTAAAATTAGTGCTTATAACTGAATTGGTTTATGAGAAAAGCCTGATGTAAGCAACAAAAGTCATAAAATTTTTGATGTGCTTATAGGCGGGTCCAACTGTATCCGTTTATTAAGATTATTAAACTTAAATTTCTATCTCATACTGAAATAATACACATATATTTTTATATGTAAGTTTTCATATTTTTTTATGAATGAGAATCTAATGAAAAATAAAAATTAACAAGTATTTTGATACCAATTAATTTAATTCAATCTGATATTTGCATTTCAATAGTTCAACTATATAGGTATCATGCAAGCACATATATTTACATATATAATTAACTATCAAACACAGTTAATTATTATATACAAAGCTACTATGATTAATAATTGATATTAATTATAAACCATATGTATAGTAATAATCATAGGTGTCGTCCAATTGTCACTTTTTTTTTTAAATGTAATCTGCAAACTGCAACAACATTTTACAGATTTATCATAATTAACAATTTAATTAAGTGCAACGGTGCGATATACATATGTAACCTTTAATTTTTTTGATTTTTCAAATTAAATAAGATCAATTATATAAATGGATTAATAAAAATAAAAAATTCGATGATAATTAAAGCGAATAAATTAATTAATGTGAAATAATAAAAATAATACAAATAGCTATAAAGCTAATAGATTTTATTGGACAAGATTTAACTTATTTTAATAATAAATTTTTAAAAGAGAATAAGTTCTAAGAAACTATGTGGTTATCCAAATTCTTATTTTTTGGTATGATTGTAAATTCAATTACAAATATTTTCATACAAATTTTTCATGTATGTCTGGAGATTTTTATTTTTAGGAAAATCATTGCTATATTTCATAATTATAATTAAATTTATTTTTATTTACATTAATAAAAATTAATATCCCATAAAAATTTAATATCAATTAAGAAAAACAATAATCCAATTTAAAATTCAATTGACATAACTTCAAAATATAACCATTATTCGCAATTCCCGTTTTCATCACATTTGAGATAAAAGAATTTTTAAAATTTCTTTGTATATTGGTAAAAATGTTATAGCTTCAATCAATAATATTGGCTCTTTAATGTTTAATTACCACGCAAGTAATATTTTATGTTTTAAAATCATTTAGATTAGACTATTGGCAAAACCATTTCCCATATGTATTCAATATTATTTCCCATATAATTAAATGAAAAAAAAAAAAAACAATTATTTAAATAGCCTTTACCTTCAAGGAATTCATGCTCCTGACCCAATTCTTCAACCAAAGTTAAAAACAATCGTTTTAATATTTTCAAATTAAGTATAACAATAAATTTTTTCCATATATGAGTATATTACTTAAATTTTAATAACCATGACACGTACATACATTTTTTGAATATTTTAAATTTAATGGTAATGATAATTGATCTAAATTAATCTATGATTCTTATTAACATAAACAAACAAATAAACAAACTATGGCATAAAATCATAATTAACAACCATTAATTAAAATAGAATTTAACATAGAAAATTCAGATTTTCTACACAATTGAATAGTCATAATGTCTAGCATTTCAAATATAAGCACAATTAATTCTAAAGCACTTTTCAACCTTAAATAAATTAAATACAATATTTAAAAAGAATGCTAATTAATAATCTGTGTTTATTGTCCATTTATATGGCGTATTTAACACATCACAATAATAATTTTATTGTTTAAATGAAAATCCATTAGGAAAAAAAAATTTACTATAAATAATAATTAAAAAAAAAATTGAATATCAATTAAAGAAAATTTATTCTAGCGGAAAAATTACAACTATTTTGAAAAATAAATGCCACTCTTTTTAGACAATAATAAAAAAAAAAAAAATAAAAATTTTTATTACCAAAAACTTTTTATAATGCAGAATCTATTAGTATTTTCTAACATTGTGCTCATATAATATTTTAATGAATGCATTAATTACAAAATTATATTAAAAATATTTATTCATTTTCAATTAGTAAACTACAATAATTTTTATTGTTTATACGTATACATTATATAAGTACTTATGTAATTTTCTCGGTCAAGTTCAAAATTTATACCATTACGATTGTAAATGGGTACAAAAAAAAATTCTAAGAAGTTTTAAGAATTATGATTTTATTATACGAGTAGTAATTGTTAATCTATTACCTACTTGTAATAATACAAGTATTATTCTTAACGCAAAATCAATAATGTTAAAATAATCAAGGCCAAAAAGTAATGGTTACTAATTTAAATAGTAAAATAATATAAATTCTGATTTAAAATCAAAATTTGTTATTTCCGTTCCAAAAATGTTATTACTGTTACTTTAAGTAATTAAATATAGAGTACTAAAGTTCTAGTATAAAGCTGTATATGTATGCATATTGAGAACAAAATATCAAAAAAATTTAATATACATAAATTATCTGTAATGGTTTAATTCGAAATTTGTTGTTATAGTGTAGATGCGAGTAATAATTTTTAAAATTAAAATTTTTGAATAAGCCGAAATTGAACAAACTTACATTTCAATTACACAATGATTGACAATTTAATAAGCTCTATCAGTACATCTAACAATTGTTTTATTGTTTGTTCAAAGCATCTATGAACCTATTCTCAATTTTATTATTCTTGAGTCTTATAATTATATAATTCAATAATTCTCCAGAAGTTGATGATTAGGTACTAATTAGCAATAGAATTTGTTTTAACTGTTATTATTTGTTAATCGTCTAATTCGGCAATTGTAAGAGCATTTCAGTGTTGCAATAAACGTTCTTCAATTCTTATTAATAAGTACTATGTTTCAATTGTAACAGTAATACCTTCAAATTTTTTATTCACACATGCTAAGAAATATTATTGACATCTGTTATAAAATAGTCTATCTAATTGCACTCAAGAGATTTACTAATGATATTATCACGATCTACATTTTAGGATAGGAAGAGGGTCGATATACTTTGATAATTACATTAAATTTGAAAATTTAAATTTAATTTTTAAAATTAATTTTTATTTAAATATTTATAATCATGGATTTTCTTTAAACTATCATTTCAGTTATTCCTTTTACACATGGATGAAATTTTGCCCCAATCATTAAAAAATGAAAACAGTGTTCAAGCAGCACCCGTTGGTTGCTCAACAATTATTGTAAACCATGAAGACTGTGTATGTATTAAAACAATAAAAGCAAAAAAACAAATCAATAAAGTTAAAAATGTTTAATAACAATAATTTAAATAATTTATGCATGTTATTTTATACCAAATCAATTTATTTTGCAAAAAAAAAACTCTAATATTCTAACAATTTTATTTTTTACAGCGTATCCTAGCTCATACTGAAGATGCTCTGACGGAGACACTGAACAATTATTATTTTGTTGTAGCTCATATAATAAATGATACACCGCAAGGAAAATATAATGTTAAAGAAGAAAAATTTATGTCTTTGTGTTATGCAGGACATTTACCAGGATACACAATGAATTACAATCACCATGGACTTGTATTTTCAATCAATACAATTTCAGCCACCTATTTAAGAAGTGGAAAAACACGTAACCCCAATTCATATTTGATAAATCGAATCAAAATCTATATTCCTTTTTATAACAATTTTTTTTAGCTCGCCATATATTAACAAGATCTCTTCTGTCTTCTGATTCTTATGAACAAGCTTTAACAATTTTGAAAGATTCTGGTATTGGAGCAGCAGATGCTTGTTCTATTAATTTAACATTTTTAAAGTAAATATAAAAAATTCATTCAGCAATTTTAACACTTCAAGTTTTGTATTTGCATTATTTGAATTTTTTGTTCCAGAAATAATGATGCCAAAATGTGTTATAATATTGAAATGGGACCAGTTGATGGAGATGGCACAGAATCACAATTAGATATTCGTGAGATACCGATAGGTGATCACAGTTTTCATTGTAATAAGTAAGTAAATATTGAAAATTAGAAGAAAGTTGTTTATAATTTTTAATATATTTATTCTCGTTAAAGATATTTACGCTTACAAGTACCAGAAGTGAATCCTTATATGGTAGATTCGAGTGATAGTAGAATGAAAGCTTTCAAATCATATGAAATACCAAAAACAAAAGAAGATGTTAAAAATATGTTGGGTGATACCAGTGGTGGAGAGCATTGTGTTTTCAGAGATAATGGTGATGTTAACGAATTAGTTAAAACTATTGCTGTTGGTGTTTTTGATTTAGAGGCAAAAACTTACGAATTATATTCAGATAACCCAAGATATAACGAACCTCATGTTGTTATTCCTTTGGTAATAAAAGAAGACTAAATCATATTATTATATAAAAATTTATATTAAATTATCATGAATAATTTTGTGAAATCAAAGTCTAAACCAAATTTATTTGTGCCTAATAATTATAATAAATATTATTAATTATGTACTTAAGAAACTTGTAATATTTTTACAAGAAAATATTTTACTTATGTACATTATATTACTACAAAATACATATTATAATTTATGATTTTATTCAATAAAAAAAAACCAAAAAAAAACTTTTATATAATTTTAATTCAAATAATATTAAGATGTCTTCTAAACCTAAAAATTATACGTAAATTTAAAGTTCTGCAAGGTTAACCTTCAATGCATTTGAACTTTCATTAATATAGGATTCCGTAATCAACTATCATTGCATATTTTCCTGAATTTTGTATTATGTTATCATTTTAACACATTTTATTAATAGACCAATTTCAATATTAATTTCAAATAAACACAACAGAAAACTGAACACTATTTCAAATAATGATATTCTTTAATTTTTCTTTTCCTGAAATAGTTATTTAAATATTTTCAGTGCAAACTTTTACACAGCTATTAATTTCCATCGAACTAAAATATAATATTAAAACTCTTACGATATTTTATGCTTGAATTCAAAAGAAAAAATTAAATGACAAAATAAGTTGGTTTTGTTTTCCAATTTTATTTATAAATTTCTTTTCATGACTTCATTTTAAATATAAATATATACATAAAGCAAAAAAACAAAGTATGTATTAGAAAAACAAAAGCTTAAAATACCATATTAATATTATTCTACAATAACTAAAATAATAAATTTAGATTAAAATATTTTTGAATTATATATGTATTATGTATAAGTATTCGAAAATATTTTATATCTGAATTCTACTTGAGACAAGAACACAATCGAATTAAAATTAATTATTTATTTATATTTATTTTTATTATTTAACAAATTTATTGAAAATTTAGCTGTAACAAATTAAATTTAATAATTATAATAATAATAATATGTTTTTTATCATTTATTAAAATTATGCCAATAAATTGCAAAATTTATTTTAAATTAATGTAAATTATCTCTTAATGAGATCATAAATCAACCAAAATTGATTTTCAATTATTAATTTCTTTTTTTCTTTTTGCAATATACAAATGTTAAAAATTTTATTCAATATTTTTTATACTATTTATACAAAGTTTGAAAAAAATATTAATGTTTAGAAAATACATATAATCAAATAATGTTTTACCAAAGTTTTTTTTTAAACGTATTAACAATCGAATTTTATTTAATAATATTTAGTAAAACTAAATTCCTCTTTTAATCATAAAATATATTTAAAAAAAAATATGCGTAATTTATGTGAAAAATTATAGGATATCAACAATGTCATTATAAAAAATTAAATTCAAAGACATATTCAAAACCCTATTGTAACTGTTGAAAAATAATAGAAAAATAATTTTAACAAAAAAACACTTAGAGGAAAAATACTTGTATGTATTATTGTATACGTTTCAGTTTACTTAAATGAAACAAAAAAGGGGAAACGTGTACTATACTAATGCAATGTTAAGGTTTAGATTTAACTTGATCAGAGAAAACATATTTACTTTTCACTGAGTGAAAAGTAATTACTGAGTGTTCAGAGCACTCAGCAAATCATAGAAAAAATGCATTGCTCGTACTTTAGCAATTATTTGTAGCACCGAATGCCTTAATCCAAATCTTAAATGTGTAATCATTAATAATATGATATAAATAATCATTAAAAATATGATGAGGAAACAGAAAATCGAGAAAAGAGGAAATAATACTTCATTAAAAATGCAACCGTAAAGTAATATTAATAATCTGTCAGAAGATCTTATAGCTTATTAAGCTAAATTAATGAACAAATTATGTTAAATAAATTTATGTTGAATTATCGAAACAATATTACAGTTTTTTTTAAGTGAATTTCTCCCATTGAAATGATAATGAACAAATCATTCTCTATAAACTTTTTTGAAAAACATTAAATTTTAGAATTACCTTTAATTTTTGAGAAACTAATGCTTTTTGGAGATGAAATGAAATGCAATGATACAATACATAGCAAGTACTGGTTTTGATTTCAAATAACACTCTTATTCTTATAGTTGAAGATTTTGAGAAATATTTCTTAAAATTTAATTTCAATTAGAAAATAGTTTACAACATTTTGTAAATATTTATGACATTATTGTTATCCCAATATTTTTCTTATATTCTTTTAAAATAAATTTGTTATTATTTAGAATAAACGAAAAGAATAATGCATAAAATGTAGAAATTTTGAGTTTCATAAAATTTAAGATTTTTATTCTTATTTTATACATATTATGAAAATATAATTTAGTAATATTTCACACATTCTTAATTGATGCGCAAGATAGTTTATTTATTTTTCAGATATACTTCACTAAAGCTTTTATGAAACTTTTTTTATTATTTATTTTCAATACCTATTTTTATTTTCATTTCGAATTATGTATTGTTCATTTAAAAAAAAAACAATAATTTTATTTGCTTAAAGGTAAGTAATTCTAATTTTCTTTAATATGCAAAATTATATAAAAATTTTAATTATTCAGCAATTAAAAAAATCTTGTAGGTATCTACATTGCTGTAACATTCAAAAATCGAAAAAGCAAGATCCACGTTTTATTTCTCTATGACTGATTGAAAATTTGTATACATTTTATTTTTTTTATACAAAATAAACATATTATGGAAAAAGTGTCTTAGTTATTTAAAATTTTTTTTATTTTATTGCTTTATAAAGGCGGATGTCAGTCAATAATGATGACTTTTGTTTAGGTATGTTATTTTAACACTCCTCATATAAAATTATTGTACATTTTTTTTCCTATTCGTATAATTACAAAACCAAAAATAGCAGGGTTTTCAATATTATTACGCAATTACATAATATTATGTAAATTTTGTAACCTAAAAATTAATAAAATAACATAATCAAAATTGTACTTTTGTGTACTTACACATGTATCATAATAAAGTTCTGTTTATATTTTTGATACAAATATTAAATACGCTTGAGAATAATTCAATTCAAATTATTTATGCTAAAAGAATAACCACTAAGGAAATACTTGATTTATTTCTGTTTCAGAGTTAAGTACTTTCTTAATTCATATTACAATATAAGTGGATCCTACTAGCAACATTAAATACAGCAAAACAAGAAAGCCAGAAATATTAAATTAACATATTATTCGCAATAATTAAAAAAAAAAATAATTATCTGATAAACATTTTAAAATTTTGTTAATTTTTATTTTATTAACACTAACTAAATAAGAATTTTATTTTAATATAGCTATTACTATATAAATGTATGTATATCAAAACTATTCACAAAAGCCATACATATTATGTATGTAATAAGTAGGTTACAAAAATATAAAAACAAAAATTTATGATGGAAAAGAAAACTTTTTAACAAATCTAATCTTTTAACACCAAAAGATTTCAAAATTTAATTTTAAAAATTTTCTAAAATTGAAAAACTTAAATAATGCCAAACAATTTTACGTAACAGAATTTAATAAACTGACATAGAGTTTAAGATTATAATCGGTATACAATATTGGCCAGAACATTTTATTAAAAATTTTCCAAATCTCTCGAAATGATTTTCGTATTAGTTCTTCTTCATTTTTCGTATTAGATTTTCTTCATTAGTTCTTAACGAAAATTTCAAGAGATTTTTACATCAGTTTTCGAAATTTTGCTTAAAAATTTTAAACTTCTTTCTTTTTTTGCTTTTGCGAAATTCAATTTTAAATTTTAGTATTATTTGCTTCACAAGGTTAGTAAGTAGAAATAATTTTTATCAAACATTGTAATTTTCAATTAAAAAATTTAATGTTACAAAAACAAATGTCACAAAATATTTCCATATTTTCTTAATTGCTACCTAAGCCTATTTTCTACTTTTTTCAAATTTGGATTTCAAGCCAAAAAAAATCTTATAAGCTACCTCATTAACGGATATTTTTTTTTTCTTTTTTTTTTGTTTTTAGAATATTTGAATAGTTTGAAAGAGAAATTTTTTTAATATACCTACTTTATTATATAAATGATTTTATAATTTGAAGACTTTTCTACATAAAACGTTGTCGTTTATTGCAATAATTTTGCATGTCCATATTAACATCAGATGGGCTGGCAGGTCGTTTACAATGCCGAGCAATTTCATTAGCTACAAAAGCATATAATTCTGGACCTCTGAATTAAATAAATAAAAAATAATTGAATTAATTATGTATAATTAAAAAAATTTGTGAAAATTAAAAAATAATACCATTAGTTATAGATTTTGTAAATAAAAAGTAATACGCCTAAATGGTTTTCATTGCACTTTTCAAAAAATATTATAAATAGCTCTAGCTAGTGAAAATATTGTATTAATTAACTTGAAATGAAATGAATTATTGTATTAATCATTATTTAATTTTAACTATTTTTTGACAAAACAGACGAAATAAGAAAAGAAATCAAGAGAAAACATTTAAATTGAAATATTAAAGTAAATATTGAGTTAATGCAAAAACCGTAATGCCTAATAGTTCTCATTATCTAGGTAGTCACGGGTATTATACTTTTATACATAACTTTGGCAGAATTTCACTGATCATTTGGAAACAAGGAATATTTAATACAACAAAACTAATGAAATTATTCTTACAAGAGTGAAGATAAAAAAAAAAACAAGAAATGTAGAAACTAAATTAATTTTTCTTCTCAAACATTTTACCTTGGTTTTCGCACTAATGCTTCCTTAAAAGTATGAAAATCATTTGATTCCACATTATTTGTGTTGTGATTTAATCCAATCAGTATTGATGAATTATTATGGTGACTATGATTATTGTTATGAATATGGTAACTAGATTCTGGTTTTGGCGACAATCTAAAAACGAAAAATTTAAATTTTTGTAATTCAAATAAATTTTAATAAATGCACCTTCTTAAAGATGGCGGTGGTTTTCCTACTAAATAGGCCAACAAATCTTCTCGGCGGATATAACGTCTTTTTTTACTGCGAGCCCATTCTGCAATTTCCCTAGTTCTTCTTTGGTATCCACATTGAACTGCTAACTCATTTGTACGTTTTATGCCATCACAAGATTCTGCAATTAACGTTATTAATATTAATAATTTCCTTTTATATTTAAAACGAATTTATCAAATTACCTTTGTACAAACTTGTTACTGTACCGGCAGCTGTTTGAAATGGTAACCATAAAGCTCCAGGATCATGAAAGCATGTTCGATCTTAAGTAAAATCAAAAAAGAAATTTTTTTCAAGCTCTTAAAAAAATTTGCTATAGTAATTTAAGGTTGTTGCAAATATCAGGAACAAAAAGTAATATTTAACTTTTTTTTTTTGAATTATGTATAAGAGATAAAGTAGTTAAACTAAAATGCAACTCAACAGGGCGGATATCTAATAATATTAGTATATCTATGTAAATTATACTATACTTTTTCATACAAAGTGTTACGGGTTAAACAATCTAATCAAAAACTCCTTTTTTCAACATTAGTTTAGAAATTTCCACGTAATGTTCTAAGAGAAAAAATGTAACTTACTGCTTAAAATTCCACAATGTTTCTGTGAACGTATAATAGAATTACGTATAGTCATACCTACTCGCATTGCATAAATTACATAATGTTTCATATCATCTTGAATATAAAAACAGCCGGTATGGCCGTTGTAAACAAACAATTATTTGATTTTTAATAATAACAATAAAAATTTTTAATATCTTTATTAAAATTTTTTGTTGAAATTGCGGCTCACTTGAAATGAAAAAGTGTGCGTGTAGCGCCATAAGTTTGTCTTGATTTTTATTTAATAATTTTAATATTTTCACGATATCTGCAGTAACTCAAATGAAAGTCAAAAAAATAATGGTGTTAATGAGCTCGATGTGGGACCATATTTTTCGCAATTAAATAAACCAAATATTAGTTGTAATTGTAATAGTAATTGAAATATCAAACGAGATTTTCCAAAATAATTTAACCTTATATTCATATCTTTCAACTATTCGTCATTTTTGAATTTTGAGATCTTTATATGGTTTAATTTTACAGCTACATATGTTGGTATATATTACGGAAAATTGAGTGTATGTAGGTTTATGTGTTCTAATGATAAATACATTATTATTTCCATTGCTTTATAATAGTCGTGACGCATTTTAAGCACAATATGTGCTAAGATTAAATATTTATCCGATATATTCGATTTTATCTAGACACTATAAAAATGTGATTGCATTAAAAAATCAGAACCTTATTTAAAACCACCAATTATTTCAGCAACTAATTTTCCGAAACGTGGTTAAGAATATTTTAAACTAATAATAATAACCCTAGTTACTTAAAAAATCATATCCTTAACACAAAGAAATAAACTACACAATTAGTTTTAGAATCCATTTTCACCTATATTTAAGAATCATGTGCAATGACGAAATAAAATCGCAGAAAAATAATCTTGAGCAATCGAGGATTATAGAATAAAATTAAGAATTGAATAAAATCAATTAATTATGTACTTACCGAAATATTTTTTATCTAAGATTAAATATTAAATTTTTTAAACAGTGGGCGACACCCACATAAATGATATGTACATACCTCGATATAATTGTGCTATCGATGTTGCTGAATCTTGAAATGCACCCCATATATTACGACTGACCAAATCTTTTTGTTTTTCATACTCTCGATCACAATTTGGCTCCGAATCTATTGCTGTGATTAATTGTTCTTCTAACCAGCTTTCGTCACTTTCGTTTTGCATTTTATTATCCAATCATTCAAAATTCTTAGTTCACTTAAATTTTTAATTTTTGTTGTAATTAATTTTATTCTTATTAAAAAAAAATAATTCTCAAGAAATTATCATGGCTGAAAATCAAAGAGAAAAAAAATTTACGTGACGACTTTTTTCTTTTATTCTATTAGTACTACTACTACAGTAAATACATTTTCAAGTTTTTGTCTTTTTTTGAATATGGAGGAAGCAATTTCCCTAAATACCTTTGTAGAAGTTATGACGACATATGCATTTTTGATACAATATTACTCCAAATTTTAAAAATATCAAATTTTTTATAACTTATATTTAAAATTGCGACTTTAAATTAAAAATATGCTTTTTTTAATCCACTTAATTAAAATGAAAACTTGAATTTTTGTTTCGATAACCCAACACAAACTTTAGACAATGAATTGAAATACTGTCACTTACTCAATTAAAAACATAGAAAATGTCAAACCTAATGCCATTTTTTATAAAAGTTTATAAATTCCACACAATCATATTGAAGGTTTTATGTGGTACTTCCGTACATCTAAAGTATAACCATGTTTTATTTCCACAACAGGGCTGCCACTCTTAAAAATTTTATGAGGCAAATTTGGAAAAAGTAGCGTCGATAAAAATAATGTATTATTATAATGTAAAACATTCATACCTTCATGTATTCATTATTAAAATAAAAATCCTTACGTTGATACACTTATTAACATGAACATTTATATTAAATGTAGGTATATACATAAATAATTTATTTTGACATGTTGCCAATTGCATAATACGCTTCTTCGATATTAAGTTTAGTATGAATGTCAAAAAATAAGGAAAACTTCATAAATAAGGAGTAAAGCACTACATGTTCAAACTACTTGTGAGTAGCCAAAACTGAGCACAGCCTTACTACTTCGGACTAATGCGTAAATCACTTGTGTAATTGCGTTATTCTTTTTCAGTTACAAATAAGATGGAAATAGTATATCTAATTTACAACAGATGGATTTTGCACATTCGAAGTTATTTTGGCATTTAATTTTAATGTTTAAAATGTCTTTTTATTGAATTGACATTCGAAAAATATAAAAAAAAGACTTCTAAGACTGTCTTATCCGTTGGATCTTACAATTTTGTATTTCATGCTTAAATCAATGGGTACGTTTAGCCACTTCAGTGCTTTGATGAATTGCAGCACTTAGTTGGTATCACTGCAGGGCCCCACTGAGCGGTTTGCAAAAATATGACATTTGATATGAATGAAGACTTTCAGTTTTATATATCTTTATTTTCAAATTTTGAGAAGACAAACAGAATGGAGAATGATGATAGTAAATAATAAAAGGTATTTATGTTTTGTAATAATTTAAATTATGTATTATTTATAAATATATAAAATATGTATTTGTAAAATGTTAACTATATTTTTACATCTTACATTACCGCGATATATGAGATAATTACATCAAACTGAACTCCGGTTATTCTAAAATAGATACCAGTCATCCAATGAGTAGTTTGGTATAGTTACTTCAAAAAAATTTTATATCTCCTCTAGTAGATTCAGAGTTTATCATATAAAACTTGAACAGTTTCGTCTCCTATGGTGCCGATATTAGTTACAGGATTATAATCTTCCGCTGCTTCCAGGAACATTGCAATTATTTTTTTTATTCATTTTTTTGTAAATAATATTCCTTTTTATGTTAAAAATTCTTTTTTTTTTTGAATTTTTTAGGTGAAACATATATGACATCCAGATGTCAAAGCGATAAAAAAATAAGTGTTTAGCAGAAAATTGCTTGAAGCGCTTTAATAATTTTAAAACTCTTAGGTTGGCTGAACGCTCCAATAGAAACAAACAAAATCATACAGAAAAGATTTGATATATCTTATACGCCGAACAGATGTCACTCCATATTTTAGCTTAAATTATTGGTTATGAATTTAAATTTTTTGTTTGACATTAACCAAAAAAAAATCTTTTATCGCTCAACTTCACGAGACTAACTATGTAGTCCAAGCGTATTTGTCTCACCAGCTTGTTTAATTTTTGACAACTTGTATTAATATTAAAATAATATATTTTGTACTAATATTAAAATATATAAAAAAAATAACTAAATTATTTTAAAACGTGCTGTCTCGACTCTCGAGACCTTTTACATATTCATTAAAATTTAACTGAGTTTGTTTTTTAATTTTTGTCTCATAAAGGTGCCTTATAATAAGTTCTATTTCATACTAGTCTATACTAGGTCTGTCTGTGATGAAGCTTAAAAAAAAAAAAACAATGACGAAGTTTCTCGCAAAAAGAAAAAATTTCTCATATAAAATAAAAATAAACCAGACGGAAAACTTGAAAAAACTTTTAAAAACTTTATAAACATGTGATAAACAAATATTTTTTAGTTATACCAAAAACTGAAAATTTTGATTTTGGACTACAAGAGTGTGAAACTTAGAAAAAACCATTTATGAACCTATTTTGGTTATTCTATTTTCAATTAAAAAGTTTTGAATAAAATGTTATTGTTAATGAAATTTTCAAAAAGTATCATCCCAGAGAGTTTGCATGCAAAAATTTTATAAAGTTTTTAAAAGTTTTTGAAAACTTTTATGCCAGACAGACCTAATTTTTCAATATCGTGCCGTATAACGTCACAGACAACTGTCAAAAAATTTATAGATTTTCTTGTTTTTGCATGCCGTACTACTTGGGTATAATAGGAAAATGTCAAATTATGTTTGACATCGAATTCCTAACCCAGGATTTACACATACAAGTTACTTGCATGCAAGTTTGTATAATATTAATTGTCAATTAGTTGTTCGAAATGTCAAATTACTTGCTATTATGACGTAGGCGTTTAGCAAGTTAATTTTTGAAAATGTCTTTGAGAAGAAAACAACTAGCAATATATATAATTGTTTATAAATTTTAGAAACCATAAGTTTGCTAAGTTTAATTTTTTCAAAACAAAATTCAAAAATTTTAAATTAAAAAAAAAAAAAAATCAAAACAACAAATTTTTTTTTGTGAATTTCTCAATATGTCAAATTACTTGCTCAAATTACTGGCAGCAAAATTTTCTTGCAAGTTGAACTGCAAGTAAACAAGCAAGTAGAAATATTTCAATGTGTTAGTAAAATTTTTGTATGTATTGCAACTTTCTTGCAAGTAACTTGTACGTGTAAATGCTGGGTAAAACTCAAAGCACAGATAATGTTACTGTCCGTTATCGATGTCGCTGCTATTGGAATCGGCGATCGAGAATAGATTTGTCGTTACTGCTTACTTAATTTAAATGTTAGGTTTCCCTGAACTTCGTTTTAAAATAAAACTTATTGAAATCCCATCGCAAATTTAGTTGCTTCAATTTCAATTTTAAATTCATAATGTTTTTTAAATCCTAAGTTTTAAATGCATTTGAAACTTTTCATGTAGGTATGTACATAACTACTTTATACATACATCATAAATCAAAAATTTAGTACAAGTTAAGTACATTATCTCCGATGGAGCATGAATTCTTTGAAATATATAGTGGATTCGAATGAAATAAGTTTAAAATTTGTAAATTTGCAAAAACCGAATTGGGCATTTAAAGATTTAACGTTTTCTTTTACTTCACATAGAGACTGCGCATATAATTATATGATGGTTTTTGGCACTACTTATACGAATATTATATTGTACTCCTTTATATTATCTGATGTGTAAAATTAGGAACACTATAATTATGTGTTTTTGCTCTTAAACGAAAACTTATAAACAGGAAATACACAGTAAATTTTTATTTCTCGATTTTAAAAGCGGATTAAAAAAACAGGCTTAATATAATTTATATTGGTGTGCCTTTTAAATTTTTGTTAAAACATATTATTTTATTTTTCTTACTTTTTGCAACTGTTTCGTTAACAGTGGTGTTTTATTTTTAAGAAACATAAACAATGCTTTTGACAAATTCTCAGCACTAAATTTCGGTACAGCAAAAAACTTTCGAATTCACTTATGTGTCAAAACTTTTTAAATTTTCTCCAGTCCTAATCTAATGTAAAATGTAAACTGCATTATGACAAATTTCCTTATGTTTATTAAATTTGAATTCAAGTGAGTTCACAAAAAATGTTTATTATTATTTCTAGGGATTAAATTCCTCCCAATAACATATTTTGTGAGGATGAAATGTGGTAGTTTTACTGAAAGTTTAGACTATTTTAATACAAAACAATTAGTTTCAACACAAATTTTGGAAAATACATTATTTAGCGTGATTATAAGCAAATGAATATAAAATGAGATGTAAAGTATTAAATATGGAAAATTAGCAATGTCTGCGGTCTGGTTCTCTTCTTCGGGGTGCACATCTAATTATATCATCGACTCTTACAATCATTTCAGCCGCTTCAGCTGCTGATATTAAAACTCGATTTTTCACGGTGAATGATTCGCTTATGCCTAGCTCTGCCATGCAAGCAACTTTTCCATTAATCATGTCCAATCCATATGAATGTTTTCCTTGTGTATGCGCCGCTCTCAGTTCTGATACAAGTTGAGCTGAATCGTATCCAGCGTTGTCAGCAATTGCTGTCGGAAGTTGCAGAAGTGCTCCTTGAAACAAATAAGAAGATATTAGATAGGAAAATGTTTCAGAAAGAAATGATTTTTTGTATACATACTTGCAAAAGCTTCCATAGCAATTGATTCTTTTCCTGCTGTTTTGGCGGCCTTCTTGAGTACGGCATTGGCCATTAAAGTTTCACAGCATCCACCACCGTATACTGCAGCTGTTTTTTCAACAGTAGTAGCTAAAACACACAAAGCATCATGCAGCGAGCGATCTGCTTCATCGATAATTTGTTGAGTTGCTCCACGAATAACTATCGTGCAAGCTTCTCCTAATTTTACACCGCTAAAGCGCAATAATGTGTCCTCTCCTATCATTACCTGTTCAATCAGATCACATTCTCCTAATCGAACAAGAGAAGGATTATCAAAAGTTGATACAATTTCAGCTCCAGTAACTAGAGCTAATCTTTCAATTCCATCAAAATCAGCATGTTCGATTGCCATTATGCCTGCATCAGCAAACAACTGCTCGGGGTAATTATAAATCAATTGACGATTAATAAAAACATTACATTTGTGGTTCAAAATTTTTTGAACTTTATCCTTCATCTTTTCTTTTTCAGCTATTTCTAAGGCAGCTATTTTGGACAAAGAATCTACTTTTATGCTACTACCAAAAACTTTTATTTTATCAGTATCCATTGGAGTATTAGCAACTAATATTTTAGCTTTTTCAACACGTTTAGGTTGATGAACTCCGGGTTTTTTGTCTAATAAAAACCCCTCATCTAAGAAAGAATCCTCCAAAACACCACCAGTTTTTTTAATAATTTGAATAGCGTTCAGTTTTCCAGATCCTTTTAAACGTAAAATTGCATCTACCGCTAGTTTTGCAAAGAAATCTTTATGTTGATGTAAAATTTTTGAGCTTAATGTTGTTTTGGCAATGTTCATTAATGTTTCCTTAAATTTTTCGGGATCGGTTGATATATCTTCAGAGTTCTTTTGCAACTCTTGACTTGCAATTGCAGTAGCCATGCGCCAACCACTGATAATAGTTTGCGGATGAATTTTTTGTTCTATTAATTTTTCTGCTTCACGTAGCAGTTCAGAAGCTAATACTGTAACTGAAGTAGTCCCATCACCTACCTCTTCATCCTGAACGCGTGACATATCAACAAGAATCTTAGCAGCTGGATTATCCACACCCACAGACTTCAAAATAGTTGCACCATCATTTGTAACTTCCACATTACCAGCATTTCTTCCAATCGAAACCAATATTTTATCCATACCTTTTGGACCCAAAGTGCTTTTGACTAAATCTCCAATGGCAATCGCACCGATAAAAGAAGACAGCCGAGCGATTTCACCCTTTTCCTCTTGTGCTTCATTTTTCAATATACGTACAGAATTTAATGGCATTTCCTAAACAGAAGGATAATTGAATAAAACATTTAGTTATTTAGAGCAAAATTTCTGTCAGAAATAAAAAGGTAACCTATTTCTATTTTTCAAAAAAATTACTATACGATTTTCTTTCTGACTTTCATAGTGACGCCAAAGACGTTTAAGATTAAGGATAAGTTTTAGAATCTAATAAAACTTGTCTAGAAATATTAGTCATATTTCCATACAATGAAAAAAAACGTAACCTCAAATTCCTATGCAAAAAATTAAATTAACAAATTTTCAGAACACAAAATTAATAAAATTGAAAAAAAATTTTATTTATCAATTTTAAAGGAATAAATTATGTACATATTTTATTTTTTTGCAAAATTAGAATCACGTGTAATTTGTTTAATATTCACACCCGGTTAGTTTAATTGCAATAACATTGAGTTTATAAGTTATAAACAGGTTATATTTTAAAAAGTTACATTAGAAAGTTAATAAAAAATTTAAATTAATTTATTTTGTAATTCCATACCATGTTGATTCTTTTTAATTATATTTTTTAATTTACACAATTCTTTCCTTATTTTGATCGTGTGTGGACACAGGGAGTACAAGCAGAGATTTATAAAATTTTCTTTCTATTTGATAAACGTCAAATTTTTATGTTTAATCATAATCAAATAGCGCTGCCAGCTATTTGAAATTGAATAAAAATAGCTGATTGTCAATTATTGAAACATTGAAACAGTGACACCATAAAACTTCAAGTTTACAAAATCGTTTTTTGTGTTTTTCTCAATATCACCACTGTGTATATAGTTTATAGTTATATACAGAATACAATATTTATTATTACACAACAAACTTTCTTTTTTTTAAATTTAAAATAGCGCTACTCAAAGTAATTCGTTGGTGTAATTACAAAAATTGTCTTCTGTATCATATCAGCATATGCACAACGATACTTCCTAAATATAATATTTGCTTTTCAAAATATAGGTAATATAAATTTAATATATCCCTTGATTGTTTGTGAAAATTTTTTATACATATTATAAAAATATGAATCTTTATATATCTCCTCACATTTCAATGGTTTTTTCTGCTATTGAGAAACTTTACATCAGTGCAGTACCAACATATCTACTAATCATATTTATTTTTTATTTATTTAAAGGTTTGTAAGCATAATTTTATTGTTGAGCAATACGTTTTTATTTATTTGATGTTTACTTATAAAGATAATTAAAAATCATCTGAAACTGAACACTGTGATAGAAAATTTGAATTGTGATTTGCCTCATAGTTAAATTTTTTGTTATTTAACAAGTATTTTGCCTCTATTTTTATATAGCGAAAAAAATAAATATATATTGAAAGGTATTTTATTATTTCCTTGAAATGTGAGATTGTTTACACAAATTAAAAAATAATTTGTGTAATTCATTGTCAACCCTATTAAAATGTCAGTTTCATAAAAAATCAGGTGTGGATTGTGTGGATTTTAGATTCTAGATGACTTGACAAATTGACAACAAATTTTATTGATAATTTATTGATAAGTTTGCAGAAAATGTCTGAAATAAATATAGAAGCAATTTATTTTATTGAAAAAAATTCCAAAGAAGTGTATTGTAATGGAATTCAAATACTGTTACGGCTTTTGAATAACATTATAAATGAACCTGATAATTCAAAATATAGGAAATTTAAACTGAACAACAAAATTATTGAACAAAAATTGCTTCCTGTAGATGGTATGAAAGAATTATTACTATCAATTGGATTTGAATTAAGTAATAATGAATTTACTTTACCACCTAATGTTTTAATAAAAAAAATTAGAAAATACAAAGATTTTATAGAAGAAAGGTTAAAGGCAATATTATCTGGGGAAACCAAGAAAACAGCTGAAGCTACGTCATTTTCTCATTTGGAAGGTAATATTTACAAATGATAATAAATGAAATACGTATACATGGTCAGGGCTAAAAATTTCTGCTCTAAATGTGTAATCGGAAAAACTAATATAAAAAAGAAAAATTATTTTAAAAAATACAGTCGAAGGTAAATTTTTTAAAATTAAAACCGCTTCTTCGTTACGTTATGTTAATTAATTATTGATTAATTTACATTAAATTTGTTTATATCGATGAGAGTGTTCAGGTATGAATTTGCTAAGGAAATAACATTTCGTATCACTTTTGGTTAAAAAGTAAAATGAGATACCTACCTATACTTCATTAGTTCATTAGATTTGAATGAAAATCATTTTTTTTTAAGACAATATCTAAAATTCACGTTTCTTTGATTTCACGATAATATCTAAGCAAATGCAAAGCTCTTTCATCGAATTTTAAGTTTTCTGAGACTTTATTTTTAAAATATTGCAGCAATACCTATATACTAAACGTTTTTTAAGTGAAAGAAATGCAACTTGATCGATTTTAAAAACAAATAATAGTCTGGTTCCTTAAAATAATAGTAGATACTTAACTATACTAAACAAAACATTTGTACTATATTTACGAAATTTTGAATAGAAAATAAAAACTTTACAGATTCTTGATTTGATTCCCATATTTAAATAGTGAAATATTGATATACTTTCACAAAATAATATATACTAATCTAATATTTCTTCAAATCCGTATTAAAATTATTTTTCATTCACGTTTTCACAAGGTCACATAATATGTAGATTACTTATGTTTTAACATTATTTTTTTCAGAAGCAACTATTGAGAAAAAAGAAATCACTAAAACTGAAAAAACAATTTTGACAATTCAACCCACCAAATCTTATTTAGAACGCATATCTTTTCCTTTAGTGTTGCGTACAACAAATCGTTTTTTAAAAAATATTGAAGGAAGTTCCGATCATGTCATGCAATATGAAGATGAAAACTTGTTGAATATTGGAAGGCATATAATTCCATTGGATATTCTTACAAATAAATCTATCAAGAACATGCGTGAAATTCAGAAGGCAATACGATCAGGAAAGTATAAGGAACCTGAACCTTGTTTAAGGGATTTGCTCTTAGCTGAACTTGCTAATTGGTTTCATGATGAATTTTTTGAATGGGTTAACAATGTACGATGTAAAAAATGTGATAATGAGATTCATAATTATAAAATAGTAGTCGAAAATGGAATACAGGTCGAAATGGGATGGTGTTGCAATGTTGAATCACGATTTTACCGTTATAATGATATTACAGATTTACTTCGAACAAGACAGGGTCGATGTGGAGAATATGCGAATTGTTTTACATTTTTTTGTAGATGTTTAAATTATGATACACGTCATGTTGTCGCAACATTTGATCATGTATGGACAGAGGTATATTCGTTTGCTCAAAAACGTTGGATTCATATTGATCCTTCTGATAACGTTTTGGATGCGCCACTAATGTATCAGCATGGTTGGAAAAGGAAAATCGATTATGTGCTTGCGTATTCAAGAGATGATATACAAGACGTTACATGGCGATACACCAACAATCACAAAGATATTTTAAAATTAAGAAGAAATTGTAGAGAAGATGAGCTTTTAGAAGCAATAATGTTGCTTCGTAAAAAACGTCAAATAAATTTATCTGATGCTAGAATTAAATTTTTAAATAAAAGATATTTAAATGAACTTGTTGAATTGACAAAGCAGAGAGAGCCCACGGAAAATGAAAGAAAGGGTCGAAGTTCAGGTAGTTTATCTTGGCGACAAGAAAGAGGTGAACAACATTTAAATAATTTTTACATATTTACGCTGTTACCTTTAGAAGTTGAGCATAAAAACTTTAATTTACGATTTTCTTGTGTTAAAAACATTTATGAAAGGTTTGTAAAAATAAATAATATAGATAATATCATTAATTCATTTAAAGATTTTGATTCAACAACATTCACCGTGAAAAATATTTTTCGAAAAATTGAAAAAGATTGGAAAATGACATATTTAGCTCGTAATGAAAATTGTGCTTCTGGAGAAATTATATGGAAATTTGATTTTCAATCAGCTAACTTAAGAATTAAAGAGTATCAATTAAAATTTGATACCAAAACTTTTGAAAGCGGAAATGTTATATTGCTTGTTACAGATTTATCGGGGTCTCAAAAAATTGAAGAAGCGAATGGCTTAATAATAAAAGCTTCGCTACAAGGTGGAAATGGAGACACAGCATGGCAGCATGCACAACTTTTTCGTCAAAGTTTAAATTCCAATGAATATCCATTTGTTTTAAATATTTCATTCTATTAAATAAATTCATATATTGATAGTATTGTTCACTATTCCAATAAGCAAAATTTTTTTGAGTATTTTATATAATAAATGTTATTTTGTCTCTTTGTTTTTATTATTTTTAAATATTCGTAAAATAAATTCGGAAACAAAAAAAGTTTTTGTTTATATTTTATTAATACTTCATACTCAAGTGTACATTATATTAGCGGAATCTATACTCTGTAAAACATTAATCTTGGTTAAGGGAGCAATTTGTTTTGTATGAGAATTTATTTTTTAATTTGCACAAATTTTTTATATTACGGAACCTCTGTATTATGAATGTACCGTATGGGATATAGATAACTTTGCATGGGTGATCGTTATATAAATATTAAGTTGGAAGTCAAAATACATTAAGTATATAAATAATTATAATTCAATTTTAAATCGCTCAATAATGTTATTTTATTTCTTCACATAAATTACAAAATTGTTTCTTTAAATATAAAAATTTAAACATTTATACATATAGGAGACTCAAAATAATATTTTAAGTACTTTGTGCAAAAATATTAACTATTATAATAATAAAAGTATTGTGTATTTTAATTTTTCTTTTGTGTTTACTATTTAAACTTTTGAATATTTTTGAAATTTCTATTTTGAAGTAGCAAATATTATTAGAACTTTCCAAGGATTTTAATAAATTAAACATTAATTAAATTACATAAATGGTTAATGAAGAGATTTACTATTCAGGTCATAAATTTAAAATTATTTAAATTTCCACTTAAAATTGAAATTAAATTTGATTCATTAAAATTTGCATGAACTTTCTTAAATAAATTTGGTCTTAAATTGTAGAAATAGTGAAACATATTGAGAATCCGAATAAACCATTATGCTACATATATTGTTTTGAACTGCGCAAAAATCAATTACTCGAAATAATTTAATAATGGCAAAAAATTAAAACCATGTACCTAAAATTTCATGCTTTTCTGGTAAATATGTAAATACGTTTTGTTTTATAATTTTTTAGTAAATTTTGAAAAATTCTTTATATTCAAAGTATTTTTTTCTTATAAGATGGATAACAAAAGAAATTTTTAAAATATTGCATCGGAATGATATTTTTTTGTATAATATTGAAACAAATTTATCGAAAATTTTTAAGTAATTGTTTTTTATTTAAAAATTTTTTAATTAGTTTTTTTTATTTCTAATAAGTAATTTCGCTTACCGTAAATTAATTCTAAACGAGATCAATGGAAAGCTTCAGCTTGTATAATATTATATAATACAATAGTGATTCTTACTTTTATAAGTACATATATATTATATTTGTAATAATACCTAACATTTAATAAATACATATAATAATTTTTGTAATTTTAGAAATCTATATAGAATGTTTTACGATTTTATAATTTTCTTACACATTTATCGCATATTAGTAAATTTTATAATTATACATGTACAAATTCTATTCAAAAACATAATTTTTATAAATTACAATATTTACTACACATTTTTTAATAAATTTTTATATATATTTTAATTATTTTTTAAATTTATATTGCAGTACGCATCGCGTAAGATTGACGCTAGTTTTACGCTTTATACTTTCAAATTTTAAATATTTTTATTTCGTATTTTTTTTCGTAATTATTTTTTATCAATTTTCTATAAAATTGTATAGCTGTTAATTATTAGAAATGAAAATAATAAAAGCATTTTGAATACATATAATACACTTATATAACTATATATAAATATAATTTTTATATATTTTTAAATATGACTAGATACACTCATCATTAAATTTTTTATTACATTAAAAAAGTGCGAATAAGTTGTTTAATATTCGTAGCTTATAATGGACAGAATTTTTTACGATTCTGGCACATATTTAGTATCTTTTAATTTCCTTTTAGGACAGAAAATAAGCAGGAAATATTCATCATTAAAAATTTTTTTATAAAAACCTACAATAATTATTTCTTTTCATGTAATTTGTTTATTACTTTTATTTAATTACATAATTGTTTCTTTATATAAAGTAAGTTAAAATTGAATTTCTCATTTTTAATCAAAACGAGGAGCAATTTTAATTTATTTTATCTACAAAAACTTTTTCATTTAAAATTTCCGATTTTTTGATGTTAAATTTCAAGAAAATTTCTGTAATTTATTTTTGTGTACTTATCCTAAAATATTACGAATTTTTTAATCTCATTTATTAACTGTGATTTTTCTGGAACATTTTATTGAAAAGAAATTTCTACTTGAACTTTAATATAAAAATTTATAAATAATCTCAAAAATAATATTTACTTAAAGGTAAAAGTTTAAAATTTACTTATTTTAATTAAAATTATTAATAAAAATATATCTTAAATTTAATTTCTTATTAATATTAAGTAAAATTAATAATATACATTTACACAATATTCTACAACATAATAATACAAAAAAAAAAAACAAATAAAGTAGAAAATTAAAACAAAAAAAACAAATTGAATTGCAATTCAATATTCTTAAAAAATATGGAACATTAAAGATTTTTATATTATAATTTTTATAATATTAATTTATATTAATTTACTTGAAGCTAATATTTATGCATATAATATTTTTAAGAATTTATATAATTAATTTTACATAGGAGCGCCATATGATGACGCATCGCTTATACGGCGACTCAATGTTCCTTTCTTATTTAATGTTCCTGTCATTTGATTAGAACGTTGTTGATGAGGATTTATATTTAATGGTGGTATGTTAGGATTTTCAATACGTGTTGGAGAAGATACCAGAGGTCTTGGTGAGCATCTTGTTAATGTACCAATTACTTCATGCGGCTCCTGATATCCTGAGTCTAAATCATCGTGATAAGAATCCATTAATGGTGTTGGATCTTCATAATCATAGTCAACAAAACCGTTATTATCAAATGACTACAAAATATTTAGAAAAAAAAATAATAATTATATTTATTGTTTGCAATAATATTTGTTTTTAATAAAATTTTATATAGGTATACATACCTTTATTGGAGTTCTCTTTACTACTTGTTCTCGACCCATAGTATGACATTTTGGTTTATAATCAACAATTTCGTAATTTCCATCTTGTCCTAATGGAAAATCTTGTACAAAATGTCTTGTTCCATGTGGTGTTAATGTTGCCCATAACAAACGATTATCATTGGCCATTTGATGTTGAATTGTTTCACGATTATTAGTTGTACATGGATATAGCATACCACCAGATAAGAACGGATTTGATTTAGATGGTTCTCCAAGGGCTTGCATAGTTGTTTGTTTAATATTTGTTTCTTGATAAGAATAATTATAACTATACAAAAAAAAATAAAATTTATTTGTTTAATTAATGAACATAATAATTTACAATTTATTGATTATTTAATATTAATATTTAATACTTACTCTCGACATTTCATTAAAACAAAAGCTAATAATGCTCCCAATAATAAAACACCAACACAACATGAAACTAATATAAAAAGCCAAGAATCTTCTAATGCAATTTGTCCTTTTCCAGTTAATTCAATTAATTCGATACCACTTTCGCGGGGACGAGGATTTGGTTCACACATAAATGCAGCAAAGCATGGTTGTGAATCATTATTTGATAAAGCAACAATAGCACTCCTTGGTAACAAAAATGATGGAAGTGGTGGTGGAGGCATTGATAATATCATGTCAGGTGGTGGCCCAACTGCACTGCAATCTCCTATGCATGCTACCATATCCTTAAAGAACAAAAAATCAAATACTTTTTAAAAATGTTGAAACAAAAATATAAATTTCATCTATACGTTCAGGAAAAATTTGTTATTAAAAATTTTCAGAAAATATACTATACATACATACATATACATACAAATGTTATGGCAATACACAGCCTAATAATTAATGAGGGGAAGGGGGGGGGGGGGCGAATACACCATTATTTGTGTTTGTTATTATCAATAGTTTAGATATAGATAAATCATTATCTTTATTTAATCAAAATTATCTCTATGCAACAAACTACAAAATTAATTAAAGAAATATTCGATATTTTAAATTAATGTAAATATTAAAAATATTGATGAAAGAAATTTATTAAATAATATTTATTTTGAGGCTGAAGAATTATTTTCTTTAAATAATTGGCTATAGTCAGGAGAAAAACGTGTATGCCCGCAATGGCGAATCTTAATAGTAACAAAGCATTACCTATATTTCTACATAAAGGCAAATTTACATTCATATTTACATTATCCAGCAATATAACTTTTGTTACGAATAATTTTAAATTCATTTCAGATTTATATATTTAGAAACCCTTTTAGAATTTTTAAAGAATGTTTAAATTAGGTATTTTAATAACCAATTTGTTGGTTGCAAAAAAAAGCAAATATCTACAAAATTCTAGAAATTTAGTATTTTTTTTTATATTCATAAAAAAAATACTATAAATTGAAAGTATTATACATATTTGCATTATAATGTTATATTTTTATGCGTTTTGCTGTACACTAATACATTATACATATAAATTCATATACAAAATCTAATTTGATATAATAAGTATGTGCCTAAATGAAGATTAATAGTTACATTATACAATTTACCAAAATATATCTACATACATATATGTACAACATAAAAATCTAAAATTCCTGTATACATATTAATTTATTCTAAAAATATTTTAAAAACTCATATGTAATATTTTTCTGATAAATATACATATGTACATATTTTTTAAACTCATATTAATTAAAACCTACAAAATGTATAACATTATGCCTATTTAAAAAATTATTTAAATAATCGTAAAATATAATAACAGTACGTTCCCAAAATAATAAAAAATTAACACAAATATATTTGTTATAATAATTTGAGTAGAATACCATTTAATTCCCGATTAAACTTAATTGCATTAATTTTCAGAAATTAGATTTTAATTTATAAAAATCAGAAAAATCAAGTCATTACATACATTTACCCTTAATTCTAATTAGGGATTTGAATGCTTGTTGCACATTCAAGTCAAAATTATTTTATGATAGGTAAAAGTAAGTTTTTTCTTAAATTATATTGTATTTATAGAAATAGTAATGAAATTCCAAATTCACTCAGCTTTACATTGTACGAGTATGTACCTATTAAAAATATAATACAATAATATAATTTTGTCATATTTCCTTTGGCTCGCATATATTTTAAATATTTTAAAAATACCTTTACGATATTGAAGTTGATTAAATTAAAATACTTAAATCTATGTAAATGTCAATTAGATTCTTGTAATTTTTGTTGAATACAAACCTCACTATACTTCATAACCTCAATATACCTCTAAAACTTCATAAAAAGAATTGAATTACAGATTTCAAAGTATAACATACGCATTTTTATTGAATTTCATTTATAATTTAATAAATTTGAAAAAATTTTAATATATTATAATTTATTAAGATAGAAGCGAAAAATATATTAAAATTTTATAATGTTAATATTATATTTATTTATTTAATCATAATTCAATTATAACAAAAGCAGATTATGTCAATTTTAATAAAATTTTGTCTTTGTATACAAGCAAAAACGTTCAACTTTTCTACTTATCAGTATAGTGTAGTTCAGCTATTTTGCGTCTACATTCAAATATGTATTCGATTATCGATTTTTCATTTTGAAAAAAAAAAATATTATCAATTTTTTTTTTCTTATTATTAACTCTTCAGTTTATTATCCTTTTGTAAATAAGAAGAAATTTAATTAAAAAAAACAGTAAAATAGTTCATACTAAATTTAAAAATATTATTTTTTTTTATAGAAATTTATAATTACCAAAAGATTTATTAATTTTTGTAATAAGAAAATTATTCTTCTTCTTTTTTACACTTTTGTGCAGGAAGAGGAAAAAACTAAAAAAATAGGCAAAATTTTTTCTTGTTAAAGAGTAAATTTTTATTAAAACACTTTAGGACTAAAACTCGTAATAAACTGTTTTAATTTAACAAGAGAAAAACAAAAAAGACTCAATATTTCGGTATTATTTTTCTCTTCTTTATATTATTTCATATACATATATACTTATTATGTATATCATAAATTTTCTTTGGTGTTTTTTTTTTTCTGTTTTACCTATTTTCATTGTGTACTTTGGTTTACATATCGATAAATTGCCAAATATCTACATTTTGTTTTTATTCGCCTCTTTTCAAATTTACACACACACACACACATTTATACATATTATTTTAAAACTAATAATATACTCATTCCTTTCATTATAATGTATAAGATTGATCCATTAAAAAAAAACCACCCCTGCAACAATTGTTCCAAAGGGTAATTTGTATTTATATACATTATTATATACATGTGCACATACATAAATGTTAATAAGTAGTCATATATAGATACAATATAATTTATTATGAACCATAAATTGACAACTCTAAAATGTAGCGCATGCGAAAATTCTATATCGTAAAAATTTGCCGACTTTTTTGATTTTTTAATATCGTTTTCGTTTTGGTTTTTTTTCTTGTGTATGTTGTTTCCTTTATTCTCCAATTGTGTCAACAAGGCTTTTTCTATTAAATTTTTCTTTTGTTATTTTGTTGCTTTTCTAAGATCTTTTGATAATGAAATTTTTTCTTCTTCTTTTTTTATAACAACTTTTTTAAGGAAATTTAATGGGTTATTCTTATTATTTTGTATATATAAATTTTGTTTTTAAAATTTTCAGAGTGTCTATTACACACTTGTTAATTTATACATACATATGTATATACATTTGAGAAATTACATACATACATACATATATTCAAGAGTATAAGTATGCAATTTTTGATTTTTTAATAATTCCCAACAATAGGAATCGAAAAATTTAACAAAAAAAAAAAAAATTAATAATATGTGCATACAAAATATAAGAGTTTAATTAGAACGGGAAATTTTAGAATTAAAAAATTTGTAGTTAAATAATCAAAAATAAAATTGTTTTGTTCTTTATTTGTTGTTTTGTGTTACTGGTTTTCATCAACGCCATCGTAATTTAATTTTTCAGAATATTGTTCTAGAATTATTTAAGATTAATAGTTTAATTATGAAAAAAAAGTAATTTTTGTAGTAATTTAAATTTTTTGGTGTTTAACTCACAGCACCGTGCTTTCAAAGGAAAAGGTAATGAATTGATCTACGATATACATAAACTAGATTTCTAGAGAAATATTAATTTTCTTTAATATTTATTAATTAGCTCATTTTTTACTAAAATACAAGCTTCATTTCAATTTGTTTTATTCAATACAATTTATTTCTATACTTATTTAGGCAAATATCTCTAGGTTTTTTATTAATATTGCAACTGAACTTCCAATATTATTAAAATTATATATTTATTGAAATTAGCAACCCTTAATTGAGATTCTTTTCGTTATGTTAAATAGTAAATTTATAAAAAGATGTGAATAATCTATTTAAAATTTAGTTACGAATGCTTGGTTTAAAATTAATTAAAATTAATTAAAAATCAAAATAAGGTTCATTTTAAATCTCAGACAATTTAAATAACTTTTTGAAATTATTATAAAAAAAATTAATGATAACAAATTCCCTGAATTCTAAGCGCAGTATTGCCACATTAATATATCACATTACTGCGCAATTATGAAATCAGAGATTATCATTATTTCTATATTAATACATTATTTATTCATTTTAATTTTTAAAGTTTTTAAAAGCTAAGGCTAAATTAATTAATATTTAGCCTTAGATACTAAAAATTAATGTAATTCGAATATAATATATAAAAATCGAATAATGCAGAATAACATTTTGTAAAAATCATCAAATTTATTACACCCATCTCTTAAGCAAGTCTTATGCACTTTAAAAATTAATTTAAAACATTTTTTCAATACAAAGTGCTTAGACGCTTCTCAACTCTCCTCTTTTTTGAAATTTCAACAAATTGATATCAGAACATTTAATTTTTTTAAATAAGAGTAAAAAGAGATTAAATAAGAAATTTCATTTATCGATTTCGATTTTAATCACATGGGGACATAATTATTACATTTTTACCTTATTTTAACAACATAAAATTTATTTTATTTGTTGAATAAAGCGAATAAGTCACCCTCAAACAAAATAAATTTTTATAATCCTCGTATGTATATGTATAAGTATACAGAGACTGTTTGAAAACGGCTATTACATATGAAATAACAACAAAAATAAAACCAAAAGAAATTTAATTAGGCGTATGTGATAAAAATGCCGACAATATTTGATCTTCCTTTTATAACACAATATGTAGAGTTTTTGTAGCATGATTTAGAAAATTCTGTAATTTTGTAATTTTGTAGCTTCATTTAGAAAAGATCGCGTAATTTATAATTTCATTCACTTTTTTCTAGTACTGTATGTGAATGGATACTGGTTTTAACTTTTAAAATTTATGCAACATCTTTTAAGTCCTACAAGTTTAACAGTGTTCTTGAAACTTTATAGGTTTAGCGAAATGAAACAATTTCTTTTGTTGTTACACTCACAGTGCTATTTAAAACAAAATGTTATTAGTTATTTGGCGCAATGCAGCTCAATGTACTGCTTCTCTGGAGAAATAACAAAGCGATGTGGTACTATGTGAATCCAAGTAAGTAAGGAATTTTTTTTTTTTGGATTTTAATTATTATAAATTTATAAAAATATTAAAAATAAAATCGAACAGTCGAAGAATATTGCTGAAACACTGCGTTAAATTATAATAAGAATAATCTGCACATCGTAACCTAGCTGTTTATCATGAAGTATAAATCCATTCTCCCAAGCCTCAATCGTAACATTTCTGTAAATTACATTCATTTCGCACTTCGTTCAAAACCTTGCATTGACTGCGACAAGATTTATTCATGCCTGGTATTAATTGAGAGGAAAATTAAAATTCATATCTTAAAAATGGCAGGAATTCATCATCCTTTTGATTATACTTGAGTAATGTAATGTTCAAGTTACTTTTTCCTTTTTTTTTCTTTCGATGATTTTTGCTTCCTTTTTTTCATTATTGGTTTAGTTAATGTTAATACAAAAGGGTGTTTGTATTATTTTTTTTTTGTTTTTTTGTGTTTTCTTTTTTGAAACCTCAATTCATTGTAAGTGCACTCTTGTATTCATACACTTATATTAAAAAATAAAAAATATTCTATGTATGTATATGTAAGTATGCATATGTGCCTGATTCGTACGTGTTCCAATTATCCTTCAGTATATATATATATATATAGGCATTCAATTTCACTTTACATTTTTACATATATTTAAATAAAAGTGTGAATAAATGGTAAAAGTGTGGCATATGAAAACAATTAAGCGGTTGAACATTATACATAAGTATTATAAAAAAATATGGCGAGGGGGAATTTTATATTCAATACTTTTAATACACAAAAGATTTGCAAAAAATTTTGATATACTTGAGTACATACATACGTGTGCATATATCTTGTAAATATGTATTTGCACATATTATAAAAAATATTAATTTAGGGAATATTACAAGAATGTTATGCACTTTATCTTTAGGTATGGTTCATTGGAGAAATTAAATATTACATAAAAAAAAAATATTACTTTATTAAATTTACGGGCCTTTTAAATATATTTGTATGTATTATTGTGTAATTTTATGTCATGTTTTGTAAATTTATGAAGAAATTAATTATAAAAATTATGTCTCATTTAAAAGAGTAAAATTAATTAGTGAAAGAATAAAAAATGATTTCCCGTTTTAATAAAATGATTCCCGTTCACTAATTGATTAAAATATTGTTTGTTTCTGTGTCATTTTAAATATGTGTGAGTTTTTATGGCATTAATAATTATTAATTAAATATTTTTTGTGAGCTAAAAATTTCAAGTTATTTAGACAGTATTTTTAGTTAAAGAAACTTGATTTTTTATTTATTTATTGTAACATTAAAAGCTTGTGCTTTGAAAGAGGAACTAAATTTTATGTTATTTGATGTTTTAGACAAGTTTCTGTATTAGCTGCTTTATTATTGGAATAAATATTATTAGATTTTTATTAGTTTCGGAAATTAGTAAAAAGCGGAAACCTTTTGCGAAATGGCAAAATTTTTCAATATTTTATCTGCTCTTTAAATGCTACTCAATTATAAGTCTAAATATGCACTGCTCAAATATTACTCAATAATTCATTAATTTTACTCACTGAATTTACTTGTAAAAATCCGTTTTTCTAGTATTGTATAAAATGTGACAAGATACTATAATACAAACTATAACGACAATGTTTTTCTTTTAAATTAATTGTAAATATGAAAATTCTATTCACTTTAATTTTGTTATCAATAAAGAGGTAAGTTGACAAAGGGGTTAAATAACATTTTGACGAAAATCGAGCTTTTCGGAAAGAATATCATTAAATTTCATATATTTTGAACTCTTCTCTTAAAGCTAGAAACTTTATAGAAGACGAAATTGACAGTGCACATAGGAGATAAGGAACAAAAAATTAATAGTTTTACAATTTGTTAATGAAAAAGTGTGTTACAATGCAAATGTAAGTTAACCGCTTTGTCAACTTACCGCTTCAATTCAAAAACCACCAATTTTTCCTTAGACCATTTTACAGTGAGCCTATATCCTAAATTTTAAATTAAAAAAAAAATTTTCAACATTATTTTTTTTTAATTATACCAGCAAAAAAAAAGAGAAAAATCTTAAAAACGTATTTAAACTTCACTTTTATATATTTTTAATGTGAACATTACGAATAAAGGGAGCAGAAAATTTTTTTGACTCTTTATAATCGTTAAAATTTATGAATTGTTCTCACGCTAAAAATAAAACTCTCTACTTCATTATAATTATTGTGTGTTAATAGCCATAATCAAAATATTGTTCATTGCTTTATTATACTCATATGGTTAGCGTTGTTCACTTTGAATGGCAA